GTTTATATATTTCAATGGATATTTAATTTTATAAATATTTATTATTATTATTATTATTATTTATTTTCTTCCATCTTTAAATTTTTTTAAAAGAAAAATAAACATTAATTCCCTTTAATTTATTTTTGTTTTTTAAAAAACTTGAAAACATGATATTTTTGTCATATTTTTTCCTTTGCCCCCCGTTTTTTTTTTTTTTTTTGACAAAAACTCTCGAACACATCGAAACGCTGAAATCGATTCCCAAATCTGTTCCATATCAAGAAACCTAATCAAAACCCTAAATCTGTTCCATATCAATAAACCTAATAAATTAACCCTAACCAGTCCCACCCTCATCCTCACACCTCGCCCCTGTTGCCTGTTGCTAATTAACCTCGGGCCTCAAACCATATTCAGAAGACACCGCTCCTCCCCGACTCGTTTGCAGACCCTCGCCAGCAGAACCGTGCACGGCCTTATCAGGGAAGACAGGGGTGAAGGGTTTTGCCGTAACCCTAATTTTTTTAAAATTCTACAATGGCCAAGCGCGAGTTGTCAAACACATTGAAGAACTTGAAGGTAAAATCTTGCAATAATTCTTGATTCTTTTACCTCCACTTCAGTGATTTGTGCATAACTTTGTTCTTAACTCCTGAATTTCTGAGTTAAGGTTCAATTGCGTTAGTCGTCAAGACTCAAATCATACTTTTTCCTTTTCGTTCTATTTTGAAAATTGAGGTAGCCAGCTTCGAGCTTACTTTGGGATTGTTCTTTATATCTGTATAATAGTTCATGCAAAGGGGAGCTAACAAAGAGGAGAAAACCAAAAAGGAAGAAGAGGTCATACCTGATGGAAATTTCCCATCTTTTATTACCACCAAAAAATGGTATTACTCCTCGTTAATTTCTCAGTTTTCTTTTTCTTTGCCTGCTCAGCTTTAGTTGATGGGACTTGTATTTTGTTTTTGGAACCAATCTCACCCCATACCAAAAATTCACACAATGAGCCATTTCAATTCCAAAATCCATACAAGTTTTTGAACAATTTGGCACAAAAAAATCTAGCTGCATTTAACACTAGTTCTCTGTAGATTTGGATGCCACATTGTAGGCTTGTAGCAGTGATGATATTCATTTAACATAATATTCGTAAGTGTATCAATGAGCCATTTGACAAGTGTATCCCTTTTGGGGAATGGAAGGAGTATATTCCAATTCACAAACTTTGTGCATGCTGGTATCCTTTAATTCGTTTGATGCTTATCATGAATATACTATATACAAGTTCTCTCTCTAATTTAAATTCACATGAAGTGCTAATTGAATTTGACTGAAATGATTTTTTCCTTTCACAAAAGTATAAAATTATCGACGTGGGTCTATATCACTTCATTTTTTGGGAGTACTATTATGTATTTGGTGAGTTTACTTCAGATAACATATGAATTCAGAATATCAACTCTGAAGTTCAATCTTGTAGTAAACTCAGGTTAAAAAATGTTGGGAGGAAAATAGTATCAACTATATCATGTGATTGGGAATGTAAGAACACAGTTTGTAGAATATTTGTAGTTCTGTTGCAATAGCCATATTTAACCAGTTAACTAAACATTTTGTCATACTTAGAATTTACTTCATTGACAAAATTAGTTTGCAATCGTTCATTTCTTTATGAGGAGAAATTTGACTGCTCTATAAGAAGGGATTTCTTGTAGTAAATTGTCGTTTAGTGTTTGATTTGCTTTCTTCGTAAAGGTGCAATTGATGTTCATATATTTATATGTTTATTTGTCCCATCATATTAGTAAATTACACGTTCTTTGGTAATCTTATGTTAGCCATTGTTGTTCTTAAGTAAATTTTATTATTTCTTCTAATCATATTCGAATGCAATACAAATGATCATATAATGTATTCAAAGTTTTCGGTTATTAGTCGTGGATCAATTAAGTGCAAGGGTGGGTAGTCATTGATGGTCTAGCTGAGTGCAATCTCATGCTGAAACTAAACTGTATTGGTGGTTAACAAGTCATGAATAAATTTCCATAAAAATAGAATTAATGAATCAGCATACTTCCCTTTCTCTCTCTTGAAATTGAACTTCTATCTACTTTTTGTGGCCTTACTTTTCTTTTTATCGTGGGAGATAACTTACTGATTGCTCCAGCCTTCATGGTTTCTGCAGTATCTTAAATTCTACTATCTGCATCTTACAAATGGTTAATATTTCCAACTACAATGTAATTCACAGCACCGTCCTGATTCACACTTCGTAGATTTTGTGGCTTCAATTTTTGTGTTGGAGTGAATCCAAGCAATTTGTAGTTCATCTCTCGACTTGAATGTCGTGTTATGCTTTTTATAATCTGTGGATGGTGGTGGCCGTTTCGACTAGGTTTAAAACACTAATATAGAAGCACATTTATACACTCATCATTCATCAGTGTATAGGTGTTCTAACTTCTAAAGACCATGTTCCCATGGTTTTGTACTTTCTGCTGGAAAAGCATGGCATCAAGATTGAAGTAAATCACTCTACTCTTTGATATTATTTCAATTAACAAGTCTTCTAGTCTTGTGGTTTTTAAGACCAAAGAGTAGAGATCCATATGGTGATTGTTGGATTTAATCAGTGCAGTCTCTTGTATCTTGAATGCTTTGGTAGATCATTGATGTCTGCCTATTTTAGCAGTTCACTATCTACCTCTGCCACAATTATGCTTCTATTTTCAAGATATATTAAAAACTGTCTCTACATGCAGTGTGGTAATTATGGAAGGCGATCCTACTCCAGGGGCCATTAGAGGCCGAATGTCATTTCAGAGTTTTAATCCTTCTATAGATGTAAGTATAATACCTGAGTGATGAAAAATCTTATGAGTTAATAGTCTATGCCTTTTTGGTTTATGTGGAATCTTGTTCTTGTAGAAATTAAATGATGAGGCTTCAAACCCAAGACAATCAGGAAGTGATGCTACATGCTCTGAGGATCAAAGAGGAAAACTGTCTAATAGGTTGGTTACCGTTGGATTTATTTAAAATCACCATCTTTTTAATTATTTTCCCTGTATAAATATATCAATAACTCTATAACCATTGTATCAATAAACCATAAATGCCTTTTATTTTGTTAACATGCGTCTATTACTGGCTGGAGATAAAACGAAACTAGTGGACAGGGATCATGTGTCAAGAGTTAACATTTACTGAGTTTTGTTTAGCCAGCCTCAAAATGTTATACAACTATTATTGGGGTATAACAGATACTGATGTATTCAAAATGGATGACCTTAATCCTGTGGTTTAGTGTGCAAATGCAACATAATTCGCGCCTATCTTTCAGATCTTTGAGTTTTATACTAAGCGCATCATGAATTTGAACCCTGATAAACGCATTATTCTTGGTGACAAATTATATGACAATTCTATTGACAAACCCATTAGACTTATTTTGCTCCCTTGTTTATTTAATTGGATGTTAGAAACAAAATGATACCACTTCCTAGTTCTGCAGTTTGCTTACATGAAGCACTTCTCATGAGGGAAAAAGATCTTGCATCTTCTTTCCACTCGTGCAATTGATTTTGAAGTGAACTTAAACTATATTGTTTGCTATTATGCACCTTGTGGACAAGAGATTAACATTTCAAATTAGATGATAGCAATAGGTATAGAATTTCACTATTCAAAAACAAATCACAGATAACCAAGTGGTTACAGAATGGTTTCTCCTACAATCTCCAACTTTCGAGAGGTTGGAACTCTCCAGAACCTGTTACACAATTCACACCCCTACAACTATGACCTACACTTCTATTTATACTCCTCTGTCACCGACTTAACCAACCCACACCGATGTCTAACTACGTTGCATTCAGAAACGACCAAACTGCCCTTATTTCCTTCTTCAATACGTAAAACGAATCTCAGGCTTATCATTAGATAAATAGCTTGACATGAAATTGTCATGAATTTCTGTGTATACATTTTGGTTACATGTTTATTTATGTGATAATTCTGAATGCTAATGGTGCACTATGCTGTTAATATCGCGATATATCGTCGATATATCGGCGATATATCGGATATCGCTCCTAGGAAAAAAATCGGACCTTAAATATCGGGAACGATATTATCGGCGATATTTAGCGATTTTTAGCCATTTTTTAGCGATATTTTGAGGTAAAAATCGGACCGATATTCCGATTTTATAAGGTTTAAAAATTTGGGCTTTTTTTATTCCATGGGCCTAATTTTTTGGGCTGATAACTTAAATTAGGTCTGAATCTGAAATCATTGAAGCTTCCACTGTTAAGTAAATGAACTTCCACCGCACGACTTTCTTTGGTTAATCACGAGTTCACGACTTCAACAGTTCAACTTCAGACTTCTTCTCAGTTCTCACAACTTCGAGTCTTCGACTTCTTCTTCTCATAACTTAATGATGTGATGTTTTAATTTTGAAACTATATTTCTAAACTCTAATTAATGCATATTATATATATAATTCTAAGATATATTATGTTAACCGCTATTTTGGACTGATATATCACCGATATATCACCGATATAACCGACATATCGAATATCGGTCCTGACCGATATTTTGTATTCTGACCGATATAACAGCATAGATGGTGCATGAAAGCTATGTTTATATGCTTGAATGCATATTCCTTTGTTTCTTGCATACTAGCTCAAAGTTGCACATTAAAGTCATCGTGTTCTTTGTTATAGTCAAAATGCATTAGCAGAAGATGAACCAGTGAGCTTGAAAGAAGAAACTTGGAATAGCAATAAAGCTAATGGAGACCTCAAAAGGAAACAAGTTGAAGTCATCACAGATGAACAAATTCCCAGTAAATCACCCAATATTATTGAAGGCAACCAGAGTTCTTCATCAAATAATAGTAGAAAAAATTCTCATAAGCCACCCAAGCGAGGAAAGCTGGATTGGAATGTTCTAAGATCTCCCAAGAATCGAAACAAAAGGGGTTGATCTCTTTCAGGTTACACAGCTAAAGAATATGCCAGTCAATTAAGAATATGCTTTTAGTAATACTTTTTTGCCTTCAGACTTCATAGTTTAGTTGCAAACTTGCAATGTAAGTTTCCAACTAGCTTATCATGTTTAATTATTAGTTTTTGTGTTCAGTTGAAATGTTATCCACCTAAAGTGGCCCAGCTACCCAAGTAACCATTATTTGTATCCTAATAGTTTATTTTGATTATGATGAAACAACAATCTCTTGCTTCTTTTATGGTTGTGGTAGCACCATTTTAATGGATCAGTTGTTCAATACCCATTCTGTGCTTTATTTCGAATGGAGAGTAGAAAATAGTTATTTTAGATGACCTACTTGTGAAGAAAGCAAATTTGTTGAATAATGGGTATAAGATATGATTAATACAGATGCGTTCGGTTATTATTAGGAAATGAGAACATGAATGTTAATGGGAGTGCTGGTCAATGATGATGAGTCCTTTCGTTATACAAAAATGACCAACAGATTAATTCTCATTCCCATTTCCTGTATCTCATAACCTTGAACCAAGCACCCCCTTAGCTTTTGAAGCTGAATGATAATAAGCTAGGAAGGTCTTCAGGCGAAGAGACCTACTCTTCCAGAAACAGTCTAAGAAATAGTAGATGATAGCATATTTTAAACCGAGTGCTGGTGAAAGATTGAGGATATGTTTTTTTAACAATAAATTTGAGAGGCGATATTCAAGTCGGTCGTAGAACATATAGTTTTTTCCAATAGACCTGGTACTGGTAGCACATTTCTGTCAGATATTTTGTTCACTTTTCCACTCCCCAGTGCTCCCTTCTAAATTACCCGAAAAATTATCATTCCTGTATGTCTCGGGCCTCTCAACCCTATATGACCCCTCACAACCCATCATCACCACACCTATCCATACACCTATTGCTTGAACAATAGCAGGTCATGGTTTTTATTACTCTCAAACATATCAAATGAAGTTGAGAAATTCGGAAAAGAGCTTCCCAAATAAGGACAGCAAGAAGGGCGTAGTTTGGGTCCCATGGAGATCCCATAGGATGAGGATATTAGGTTCAACATGCTTTTTCAACCGCAAATTTGTGGCCCTTGGGTTAATTCTCCATCATGTGATCATTTGGTGCAGTGTCTAGCCTGTGCGTACCTTTTATCTATTATTTCTATCCTGCCTTGTGTTTCCTTGGAAATTTGGTCCATAAAGCCACTCTCAAACGGGTTGTCTTCTATTTTTTTTTTGACACACTTATCCAGCTAGCACCCGTATATTATAAGCACACATTATTTTTAGAGGGATCTTCTTTTACTTGGCCCATGATGAGAATGTTATAAAGAGCCTGCAGGGCAATTTTGTCTTCTTCTCTTTTGCTCGATTTTTCTGGCCGAAAAGTACTTTTCTTATGTTGACTTATCCACACGATTTCTATGAGTTATGGAAACTACCTTGAAACAGCTTTAAAAGCTCATGGCTTTTCTCAAAACATTTTGAGTTGCAATGTGTTTCTTGACAGTTCGCTTATGTTGCTTTTTTGTCTAGAAGTGTGGCAAAGACCATTGGGAGGTCAAGCAAGACGTGCTGCAAATTAATGGTGTTTGTAGCTGTTACTATTATAGAAGTATCTTATATTTTCTAAAAGGTTTGAATATGATATGGTGTGATGTTTGCCTCTGGACCCTTCTTGATTTTTATAATTATAACTATAGAATAATCAGAACTGGAAACTTCCCAGGAAATTGAGGCATACTGATAGAATGAACCAGGTTCGATGAATTATCAGGGTACAGTGCTTTGAAAATGGCATCATGATGTTGATGTTATAGAGAAATACAGTTATATGCCGAAAGTGACAGGCCTTAAGTTTAAGCATGCAGATAAACACGTGCTGAAAACATTAACATACATAATTGTTTATCCTTTTCTATCAACGGTTATTTAGCCTGCAACAGACGCTTTAAGAAACGCATCATAGCATATATTTAACTGAAAATTTAGGGGTAACCGAGTAAAACAGATTTAAATGTTGTTTCAATTGTATTTACTGCTGATCTTGTGCTATGTTATATGTGATCTTACCTGTGTTGTAGTTTTTTGATGGATCATGGGGCTTTGCTCTGAAGGGTCAAAGTCAAACTACATCAGGGTACGCTCTATTTTTGTATTCTGGTTTTACTTGGAAAAGTCCCGTTAATATATTCTAATAATGCTTGATAAAGCATTGGATTATTATAATTTGTATTAGGATCCTGTTCACATTCTGTTTTTACACGGATTTCTTGATGTTCTATTAAAATTAACACTGGAGCTTATGCATGGACTGCTAAGATAACACTGTTTTTGCCTTTTACCATTTCCGAGCTGTCACTAGAAGTTACGCGTGGGATTTCTTGTTACTATCGGAAATTATGAATGGATGTTTCAGGTATGTCTGCATAAATTTCTTCATGAATCTTGCTGTTCGTATTAACCATTTCTAAAGTTATCGCTACAATTTATGCATGGACTTCTAAGTCCGCACGCATGATTTCTTGCTGTTCGTTTAACGTTTCTAAGTTTTCACCATCCATAAAATCTGTTTTATAGGACGTCATATTATGTCTAAGTATTCTAATAGTCTGCTCTGCATGGTTGGACTTAAGTCCATAAGACCAAAAAAATTGTGCGGTCTTATAATACGCTGACAGGACACTTTATAAAGATGTGTTCATTGGACATGTCTAAAGAGTGTCCAATAAAAAAACTTATTACACCTGTATATAGGATGCACAATTGTTTGGTGCTATAAATTTAAGTCCTATAAAGCAGTCTATTAGGACATTTAGATATCTTTAGCATCTTATAAAGACGATTTTGTTGAAGTGTTAGCTGTTTTAGACAGTGTTAAAAATGAAGTGTTGAATGCAGTAGGAAATATTTGGAAGAGTTCTGATCTTGGTTTACACTAAAATTTCAAAAAAAACAAAGATTACGAAAAAGAATTTTAAAAATGCATCTGGAGTTTGTTTCTATTATGCGGGTTTCCATAAGGAACAAGCATAAAGAACCCTCCCTTTCCATCCTTGCAACATCCATTTGCCATCTTCATCCACAAGAAAGTCCTTGTGGTAATTCATCCTTACCTTACTCGTAACTTCTTCAACCTTGTCACGGAGCATCGGGACCTGCCGGAATCCGGCTCGGACGTTCCTTGATTGCCACTGTTTATACGTCTCTGGCCGCTCTACTCTAGTCGTCCCTTCACATGCTACCACATTCATCACTTCCCTTCCGAACACCTCTTGCTCGTATAAAAACCGGTGTTCGCTTTGTCGATCCGTCGTGTTGTCAAACATGTCGAACAGAGTGGAGAAGTGGAAGAGCGCCTCTCGGAACCGGTTCAGTAAGAACGGGGCATTGTGGGTCCCGTTGAGAATGCCGAGAACGAACATGTCTGGGTTGATCTGCCTGATTAACTGCAAGACTGAATCCCTCGGGCTGCTCTCCACTACTGTCTCATCGTGGATATTCCGCAGCCGGTTGATAGAGTTGACCACAGTCAACTCATTTTTATCGATCTTCAGATCCTCGATTCTAATCTCGTCCCATTTCATTGCGATCCCGTTGTACTTAAATGGCACGTTAAACCTCTTGCAGTATTTTGCAAGGCGGTTACCGGTCTCCTCAACACGTTCTGCTGGGCGGAACCCTGGTTGTGGAAGATCAATGCCAGTAATCTGGAGCATGGGTGGGCCGCCAGGTCTCATAGATAAATTCTTGATAAAACACGGCCACTGGAACCCGTATAAAATTCCGAAATCTATAATGTGAAGCTTTTGTTTGCCTCTGGATAGTTTCTCAATCGACCCGTTTGCTAAAATGTTTGACATTCGGTGAAATGGGCATGCCATCATGTAAGAGTGGTGTGCCCTTAGGATCTGAGCGGCCGATATTTTTTTCAGCTTGTACGCCCTATAAATCTCGGCCCCATTGCCAGCTAAGCGGGCCTCAATCGCTTTTACGAAATAATGCGCCAATCTTTCTGTAGAATCTCCATATGGCGTACAATGCGGCTGGATTTTCTTCAATACATCACAAACAGAAGTAGGATTGTTGTTTGTGATTGCTTGGGCACATTGAGTTAGCAGATCCCGCAAATCGACCACGATTTCTTGAGTGATTGTGTTTTTCTTCCCTCTTGGCCTTCCTCTTTTCGATGATTCATTCATCTTTTTGCCCAATTCGCTTGAAGAGAACCATTGAGGTTCGTGATCGTATAGCAGCAGATCTTCCTCGTACGGTTCTGGCTGATCCGAATCTACTTCCGAGATCATTGCCAGTTTCGCATCTCGCAGTTCTTCTCCGGAAGGACTTCTCTTTCTGCTACTATTCAAGTTATGATAACCACCGTTATCGATTAAAGAAACCGTAGAGAAGTTATTACTGCTTCCTTCACTGCTCGTAGGTCCCGCTGAATAATCCAGTGGGATCTTTTGACAAGCAGGAAATAGGTTTTGTTCCTGGGACGATGCCGGGTGGTTGTTGACGAGCACATCATACAACGACTTCTCAGCTGCTTCAACTTGTAGCGCCAAACACTCGTTGTACATACATGGCTTTTCCTGCAAGTCATCCTCTTCCATGAGCATCTGGTTCAGGAACTTGAGGACCGAGTCATAGTGATCCTGATTGTCCGAACCATCCCCCTCTGCAACCACAGAGGGGGAGGGATCCTGATCAGACATGGGTGTCGGATCAAAGTCGTGGCAATTCACATGGGTTCGGTCAAAAGACGGTTGAACCGAATGGTGGTTATAGCTGTTGATATAGTTGTTCATAGCAGTTGCATATAGAGTGTCCATAGAGAACACCAACAGAAATGACAGTACAGTTGGTGAAGTTTTGAGGTTTGAAGTATGAAACAGAATAGGTGAGTCAGTGGGTTCATATATAGATAGTGAAGCAGAGTTTATCCATAGGAGGAGATGAGTACAAGCATTGATGCATGAGGTACAAGTAGGGTTTATGAAATCAATGGTGGTATAAAATATACAGAAAATGGAAGCCTCCTGGAAGGAGAGGAATGTGGAAGGAGGACAACCAATTAGCATTTAGCCATCTTGCAAGATTATTTAACCGGCAAACCGGATGGTCCGGTGGGCAGGAAGATTCAAAGTTGGAGGTGAGCCAACTTGGAATTCACTATTGACTTGTGAATGATAACATGATGATGTTGACATCAACAGAAATTTTATATTTATTTATTTATATCTTGCTCCTTAAGATTTATATAAATATTATTTTTTAAGAAATGGTCAAAATATATATTTGTAAGTCGCTTACCAAATTTTTTTATCAAGTCCTGTATGGATAAATTTGTTTGTCTGAATAAATGGGTGGTATTGTTTATTTTTTTATCTGAACAAATAGTCTAAATAACATAAATGACCGATTTACCCCATAATATTAATTATTTGAACATCAAAACAAAAAATCATAAAAAGGCCGACGATGGGGTGTCTCACATGGGAAGGAGGCGGTGCTTTAAATAAGGGGTAGGGATGTCATTTTTGTGGCTGAATGAGGACAATACATCATTTTTATCTGTGTGAATAAGCAAGCCATAAGTAAACAATCCAAATGACATGTGCGAATAAGCCAAATAGACTAATAAATCTAATTAAACCGTAAGTAAATAGCCCCTAAGTGTTTAATTTGATATATAACAATATTAAATGCATAATTAATTGATTATCCACTTTGTTTTTTATTTGATTATAAAGATTTTGATGAGTAGTTGAGAGAGAAAATTGACTTGGTGGGCACGTACATGTCATATGTCACTTTCTGCGTGTTAAATAATCTTGTTCACATTTGGGTAGTCAAGATTCCACTGTTGGACCATCTCTTGAAACTATGTGTTCACACCAAAGGGTTATTGTAGCAGGTTATCACTACAAAACAGCTTCTTGCAAGGTCTTAAAAAGTGTATCCAAGTATAGGCTCGGGCTTCGTTGAGAAGAGAAGTTATGATAAGAAACGTAAGATAATATCTTCATCATTGGATCAATCATAATTGAATGTCAAACACTGTTGATTTGAGGTGCAATTCATAGGTGGACATAAGATTAAAAGTGATTGAAGGTTCGAATTTCTTATTACGCTTCACACTATAACTTCCCTTCTTAGACTATCCTTCACCATCTAAGTATTTACTTTGTAGGTGAAAGATCGAGTGAGAAAGACAATTAAGGTGAAAAGCGTGAGAAAGATTCTGGATCATTGATCACCTTTAATATTAAACTCAACCATGAATCACATTTGATATAGTGATTGATCTAGTGTATCTCATCTTAATGTGCATCCAATGGTAGAGATCACTTTTTATTCTTTTTACCTTAACTCTCCTTCTTACGAGAACCCAACCCTTACTGTGTACAAGTATTATATATTTTAATAATAGGGAAAAGTCTAAAAAAAACTCAGTGGATTTTAGTGTTTGGAATGATTAAGTCATTGGACAATTTTTTGAAACAAATAAGTCTTTGAACATTTCAAAATCTGTTAAACAACTTCTTGGACTTTCTAAAACCTTTTAGATACATTCTTATGACCTATAAAATTAATTAACATAGTAAAATAATGGAAAAAACATGAAAAAAACAATAAACATTCATATTTTGAGCGATAAAGTCTTTAAACATTTTTTGAACTAAAAAAAATACTTAAATTATATAAAATAAAACAAATATACCAAAAAAGTACGTATATTTTAAAAAGATTATTGATGGAATTTATTTTAATTAAAAATAAAAAGATATTATATCAATGATTTTTCCAAATTAAAGAAAAATAAAAAATGATTTAAAATGATTACTGATTAAATTTGTTTTAATTAAAAATAAAATATTATCCAAATAAATTCTATTTAAATTTTTTTTAGTTTGAAAAATCACTGACATAATATATTTTAATTTTAGTTAAAATAAATTTTATCAAATATTTTTTTTAAATTGTAAGTATTTTTTTGTTATATTTGTTTAATTTTATAAATTTAAATACTTTTTAGTTCAAAAAATGTTGATGGACTTAATCGTTCAAAATATGAATGTTTATTGGTTTTTTTTGAACTTTTTCCATTATTTTACCACATTAACCAGTTGTATAGGTCATAAATATGTATCTAACAGGTTTTAAAAAATCCAAGAAGCTATTTAACATGTTTTGGAATGTCAAAAGATTTATTTGTTCCAAAAATTTGTCCAATGACTTAATCATTTCAAACATTAAAGTCCATTGAGTTATTTTTTAGACTTTTTCCTTAATAATACAAGTAACATGTTTGCATTTATTTTTTAAAAACAATAATTTCGGTAGTTATTTTGTATTTTGTAACATCTCAAATGTTCTACTATGTTTTTACTTTTAAATCTAATGGCATTCATAAAGTTACCTTTATTTTGTAAATGTTAAATATCATGATTTAATGGGGAGTGGTAATGGCAACTTTTAATAAGGGTATGAAATGCTTTGAAATTTGAACCATGATTAAAAAACATAAAATATCAAAATCAATCAAAATATAATATATTTTATTATTATTATTATTATTATTTTATATATTAATATACATATCTATAATTATATATATATATATATATA